GCCAGTAGTATTGCTATTAGCAATGATTGTAATATTAATCAGTTTCTAACAGGAAGGATTCACACATCCTTTCTTCTTTGTACACATATCTCTGTGAGCAGAGCCAAGCTCTACTCACTTAAGAAAAGCTGGTAGAATTACTATAGTTTCATTGGGGCCAATGAGCAGGGTCACCAATGACTCAAGCACCTGATTTGTGACCATTTGGATGCCTGCCTAGAGATATCACCTCTCTAGTAACATGCTCCTTTCAGTAAGATAGCTTTTCTCCTTCAGATGGGAAGATAGCCATGAATCTGGGTCCAAAATCCACACAAGGTATAATCTGTGTCTTTAGCTTCTTCACACAAAGACAAGATTTTCCTGCTGGCAACTCAAGCTGCTACTGTGGGGTTTTTCCCAGGAAACTTTGTCAAGTTATATGAACTTACAGCATTACAGGACTGTTGCAAAATCAGAAATCTCCATGCAAAGCAGCCATATCCAAAGCAAAAGTCTGGTTCAACAGTCTGCACTTGAATGGCAGTCCTTTCTTAAACGCTAACAACTAACAGAGAGCAGCAATACAAAGCATCAGTCACTACTTAATGGTGCACTTAATGGCTGGGAGGTGTAAACATTAAAGATACACCTTTTTGCTACAGAGCTACTTTTATTTATTTATTTATTTATTTATTTATTTATTTTAATTTTTGTTTATTTTTGAGAGAGAGACAGAGCATGAGCGGGGGAGAGGCAGATAGAGAGGGAGATCCAGAATCCGAAGCAGGCTCCACGCTCCGAGCTGTCAGCACAGAGCCCAGCGTGGGGCTTGAACTCACAAACTGGGAGATCATGATCTGATCAGAAGTCAGACGCTTAACCGACTAAGCCACCCAGCTGCCTCACTATGGAGTGACTTTTAGGCCAGACGTACAGAATGCAACTGCTACCATCCAAAGCCTCCCTGCACCGAGATAGATGCCTGTCTGGAAGAGCCAGGCCTGGCCAGACAGCTTCTAGTCTCAAAGGACCATGCTGGTTGTCACCCAGTGTTCTGTCACCCCCAGCACATGGACAGGCAGGGAATGCACAATCCATATCTGGAGCCCCTTCTGCCCCCACCCTACAACCGTGATGGCTCAGAACCATAGGTCATATGAGTGGTACTTGACTAGTATGTCACACAATTATTTTAAGATGCCTATCAGACTAAAATTTCCATTTCTTTATTTTTAAATGTATATTTATTTGTTTTTGAGAAAGAGAGAACATGGCAGAGGGGCAGAGAGAGAGAGAAAGAGAATCCCAAGGAGGCTCCTGCTGTCAGTGCACAGCCTGCTGTAGGACTCTGTCTCATGAACCGTGCGATCATAACCTGCCCCAAAATCAGGGTCTGGCTGAGCCACCCAGGCGCCCCTAAACTTTCTTTCCATTTCTAAAGCAATGTTTCTCAACATGTAGACCCAAGTCAGAAGTATCTGGGGTGCTTGTTAGAAATGCAGTTTCCTGTGCATGTTTGTCTCCTTTACCATGTTGCTATTTGTGTCTTTTGTTAGCACGAAGTCTTGAAGAGTAGAAACTGGTCTGTTTACCCTGGTACTTCAGTACCCCTGACCGTGTTTAGCCCGTAGTAAGTGCTCAATACATATATGTAGAATGAATTAATCCCTGGGCCCTATAATCAACCTTCTGAATTGAAATCCCAAAGAGCAGGGCCACGGAATCTTCCTTTTAAAGACATACAAAGTGATTTTTATGCACACTAAATTGCAAGAACCATTGTTCTAAGGTAATTCAACTAATTCCCAGATAAATAGAAAGATGACAAGTTTTATGTCTAGAGGCCCTCACACCAACTGTCTGGCCAGTCATTAAGGTAAAGTGATGGTATTAATGTCATCCCATCCATGAGTTAAACTTCTGCCTTCTGGTCACCTACCTCCAACAAAGGTTGATCTGCTGGCCACCTTCAGTATGTAAGGCACTAGGGCGGGGGTTGGTGGGGGGAGCAGGGGAGGAGCTCTCTGGGTTCCTAAGTAGATAAAAGAGATTATCTTAAGGAAGCACAGAATCTAAGAAAGGCTGGAAACTGCCCTGTCAAGAGCCACACCCATCGATTTCCACTTGAACTTGATTATTTGACAAGCTTGCCTCAAAGCTCCCTGACTGGGAAATGGAACAGACTATCTGCTCATTACTGCTTTCCTGGCAGACTTGAAAGACACCTCTGATCCATGAAAGTCAGATATTATCTGCGAGAATTTATCTTATCTTTAAAGACTCCAATCTTTCTAAATAGGCTTGTTCCTATCTGCTTGGCCCTTCTAGGAAGCTTAGTGTTTTATTTCTATTGACAACCAACCTTTTACCACCATTTGATGTTGGACCGTCACTTGGCTTCTCTTGGCCTACTTCCTCCTTTGAAAAATGAGACAATTAGACTAGAAACAGGTCTTCAGCCCCTTCCAATTATAACATGCCCTAATATGGGACTTCTTGGTGACACGTTACTGCCTCCTGCTTAATAAAACTATCCAGATGTGATTAGACGAGCGAATAGCAGCTGTCAAACTAGTCTACCCAAAACTCTCCAAAAGCAGAGGTGACTGGCATGTGGAAGAGTCCATAAAATTCAGGATTTGCAACAGTTTCTGAGAATTGTCTCTCAGAGTCCATGTTTACCTACAAAAATACTATGCAATTTTAATGGGCTGAAAATTTTACGCAAAGGATGAGTATAATACCCGAATCTCTTCTGAAATCTGCACATTGTGTTTATCTCGGTGCTGCATAGCTTGATCTAGGAGAGACTGAAAATCACTGCTTTGCGGGATGCCCTGGGGCCAGGCTGCGAAGCCTACAGAGAAATGTGGGTGGTGAGCTCCTCTTCCCAGCACCACACCTGCCTCTCTGTTCCCTCTGTCCCTCCTACAGAAGCCCCCTCTCACAGAAGTTCCCCAGGGTGGGCTGCTCTCAACTGGAATCATACTCTCAGCACCAAATGTATGTTTATTCTCCTTTGTTCCAAGCCGGCCTGACTGACCACTGGTAACCTGTCCATTCCCATTCCCAGATAATTGCATTTTGACTGCCTTCCTTTGGAAAACAGCTTCACATAAATCAGTGGTTCTTAATGTTTTCAGGCCTTATGTCTATTTTAAATAGAAAACTATATTGTGACATCGGCTATTTTGTGACATCTCTTTTATGAGCCTGAAATGAAAATCACAGAAAATACAGCTTACCTACTTACTATATAATGCCCAAATTATTTTTATAAAATGGTAGTTAGAAAAGTAACTTTCCAGCTGAGCCTGGGTGGCTCAGTCAGTTAAGCATCTGACTTCAGCTCAGGTCATGATCTTTCAATTTGTGGGTTTGAGCCCCACATCGGGCTCTGTGCTTATGGCTCAGAGCCTGGAGCCCACTTCGGATTCTGTGTCTCCCCTCTCTCTCTGCCCCTCCTCCATTTGCATTCTGTCTTTCTCTCTCAAAAATAAATAGACGTTAAAAAATTTTAAAGAAAAGTAACATTTCTCAAACGGGTGTTAGAAAAGTAACTTCTAATAAAATAATATATTTCAATAAGTAAAGCTTAGAAGATGTAATAAAGTAGCTCAATGTTTGCTCTATACCTAAAGTCACAGGGACAGCCACGAACAGATTATTGAACTAGCGACAAATACCAAACCCTGCTAACAGCTCCCTAAATGCCAGTAGCATCTACCAACCATTTATTGTGATAACCTCCTGCCCATAATTTATTTTTCCAAATTTCCTTTTAAAACCCTAGATCGATGATAATGATTTGAGAAGTTTATCCAGTTTAGCAATCTCAAGAGAGCTATTTTGGTTTAAAGAATATTTTACTGCCTCTGGCAACTACTCTGTCCTTTCCCTATTTTTGCCCCGAAGACTTGGGATATGAATGTCACAGTGCAAAACGATCTCATCAATACAAATTAACACTTTATGGAATGCTTCCCACATGCCAAGCACTTTTAAAATAATTTTGTCTGTATTAATTTATTTAAACCTCAAAATTCCATAAGTAATATTGTTATCACTATGTTCCAGGGATAATCATAATAGACACAGAGAAATTAAGCAACTTGACTAAGATTATACATCTAGCTACATCCGGCTTCTTATAGAAATCAACTCCTTTGATCATTATAATAATGGTTTTTTTTTTTTTTTAATGTTTATTTATTTATTTTTTTTTTTTTGAGAGAGAGAGCCTAGGAGGGGCGGAGAGAGAAGGTGAGAGAAATCCCAACCAGGCTCCACACTGTCAGTACAGAGCCTGATGTGGGGTTTGAACTCACAAACTGTGAGATCATGACCTGAGCCAAAACTAAGAGTCTGGAGACTCAACCGACTAAGCCTCCAACCAGGAGCCTCCTATAATGATGAAGTTTTATAGTTAGCAAAGCACCATCTGTGTTTTCATTTTAGGAAAGAAACATTTCAGGGATGAAGGATGTTTCTTTCTCCAGAACTCGCGTATCTATATGTTTGAAATTTGAGCCCATGTTTTCTTGGCCTGCTTTATGCTTTGAGCACATAATTGGGTAGCTTTTTTTACTTAATATTTTCATTCAGTTGTTTCAGAATGGATTTTTTCTTCTTGGCATGTCATCTAGATGTGAAATTGCAGCTCCATTCATTCGAAGACTGGGAATGCAAATCTTTTTTCTTCACTCTCTTTTCATTGCCAACTGTCTTGCTCTGAAGCAGGCTTGTTTCAGCCGAGTTAAGAAGATGGCCTAAAAAGCACATTCTGTGCAGAGTGAAGGGACATGTGGTCAGGACTCTCCTAAATGTCTCAGAAATCACAGTCCTGCATCATTCCGGGAGGAACTGCGTTTCCGCCTGGAAACAGCCACTGAGTTGTATTAACTGATCATTCTTATCAACAGTTTAGGGTTGAACCTTTTATCCTAATGTGGCTGCTTATAAGGACAACAAAGTAAAGTATTGAAGCAAACTTTTAATGTATTTATTTTTCCTTTCAGAGGGAAAATGATCCCATCTGATCTTGAAAGAAGAATCCTTGAAGCCAAACAGAAAGTAAGTTTTTGTAGGGAGTTAACAAACCAAGGGTACATATTTCTATTTCCATCCAGTGGAGAACACACTTTGGCTTGGTCTTAAAGCGGACCCAATTCTCAACTTCCGAGCCTTACTGAAAATGGGGGGTTTTGCATCTAGTCATTGTTTATTTCTCTGAGTTTTAGACTCTGCTTTGGAAAGGTCTAACTTGTTCATTAAATAGTATACCCTGTAGTAATATACACGGTGATGCTATAAGAACTTCTAAAACATTTGTCTTTCTCTGTGCTGAAGGTTGGCATTAAGCAGACATACATTTGAAAGATCATTTTCACAGGTGGAAAACATCACAATATTAATGCAGCATGAGTTACCGCTGTATGGTTATTTGAAAGGGGCCAATTTTTTCTGCCTACGAATATGGCTATAATTGGCTCTCTAAGCATCTTAACTTTTAGGAAAAAGTTTAGAAGTCTTAGAAGGAGCAAGTTCTGGAGACCTAGAAAGTCTGGAGCTCTAGGGGCTCTTGGGCAAATCAGTCAGTTGGGCGTCTGACTTCAGCTCAGGTCACGATCTCACTGTTTGTGAGCTCAAGCCCTGTGTTGGGCTCTGTGCTGACTGCTCAGAGCCTGGAGCCTGCTTCGGATTCTGTCTCTGGCTCTCTCTAACCCTCCCCCGCTCATGCTCTGTGTCTCTCTCAAAAATAAAATAAGAGCATTAAAAAAACTAACAAAAAGAAGAAAGAAAGTCTGGAGCTCTAGAAACTCATTTACATCTCTGGATAGTTTGCAAATCAGAGAGCTTGTTTGTAGAATTCCCTTAGTGTGACTTTTTTTTTTTTTTTTTTTTTTTTGAGAGAGAGAGAGAGCAGGGGAGGGGCAGAGGAAGATGGAAAGAGAGAATCTTAAGCAGGTTCCATGCTCAGCACAGGGGCCCACATGGGGCTCAATCCCACAACTCTGGGAACATGACCTGAGCCAAAATCAAGAGCCGGATGCCCAACTGACCGAGCCACCCAGGTGCCCCTAAATGTAACTTTTAGTGGATATGACCTACAGTTCCTAGTTCAACAGAACATTTTATTATTATCAACTCAGGGGAAATGATTCCTTCATATGCCTTTTTATTTCCCACACAGTGGCATTAGGAGGTTCCCCTTGTTTCTGAGGTAGAACTACTGCTGGCAGCACAAACCACAAGATTAAACCTTTGCTGCCACCTAAAGACTGACTCTGTAACATCCTGTCCACACCCTTGCTATGTTCACCCTGTGGGAGACATTCTACCCTCTTCTGGCAATTTTCACTTAGCCAGGGCCAGAGAACTACTCAGGTGGATAAGAGCCGTGGCTTATTACATAGTCCCACATGAACCCTTCCCCCCAAGACACCAAATAAATTATCTGAGGATTTTCTAACTGGGAATAATGGGCCAGTCAGATTTCCTTCTCTTTGTTCTTTTCTGCTCAGTCTAAAGGACTGTTACAGAAAAGGAAGACTAGAAAGTGGGCAAAGTGGGGTGGGGGGGAAGAAATCTACCTGGAATATACAAATGGCTTGTGGGCAGCACAACACTTCCTCACGCTTCTTCACCTCTGGGTCCAGTGCAGCCTCTTCTGAGAACCAGAGCGTCTGTTCTCATGAGGTTGACTGGCGGGTCCAACGGAATGGCCTGGAGAGCTCAGATCCTAGAGTGTGAACATCCTTCCAGGCTCCAAGGGGTCGGTGATCCTTCTAATGCTTCCAGAACTGCAGATGTGTTTGACAGGGGAGAATTTCTACTGTTTTTATCAGCTTTTTGAAAAAATTCTTGAAGCCCTACTTGACCTTATTTGGGGCTTTCTCGTTTGAGTAGGGATTTGTTCCTTTCCTTGTGAGCGCCACCGCTGGGACCACTGTGTACGGAGCATTTGACCCCCTCTTGGCAGTCGCTGACATTTGCAAAAAGTACAAGATCTGGATGCATGTGGATGTGAGTATCCCATAGGAGCTGCCACTAAAATGTCCTTGCATGCTTCTTCATCTGGGGCTTATGGAATGAAATCTGTCGTTTCTCTAGTTTTGTTTTGTTTTTATTTTTCCTTTGGGAGCTTATTTTCAGAATAGAGATATTTACGATTTTAAGATGCAGAGAGCAGTATCACACAACTCAGATAGGACACAAAGGCGACTAGAGGAAGTTGGAGGCTGATGATGCCTTAACCTTCCCAACATGATAATATTCTCATTTCTATGATCAGTACCCAAACTGAGCACTTAGCTCTCTATCCATTGGCCCATAACATCCATGGGGGAATGTAGCCTACATGCATACGTGCATACGTACACAGCCATACACATGCAGATTGCGCTTCCTTCCCTGTGAGAATGATCAGAAAGGCCTAAAGGAGTTACCCTTACATAGGAAACCCAGAGGATAAAAAACTCAAACTCAAGTCAAGTGTTTGTGTATTCAGAGAGGAAAGCAGACTTGACAGCTTGCTAGGACATATGGGCCGCCACATTTCCAATTTCTTAGCTGGGTCAGCTAGGCAGATACATTGTATTTGAAATGTTTTGACTCCAGACCGGGTCACACTAAAATGAAGATGTGCCCACCAAAACATTGTCAAATGAAAAAATGTCAGGTTTTACAAGGACAACTGGAAAAGATTTAAATTTAATCCATGTAAATCAGAGTCTGGCTCAAAGATTCAGCTGTTACCTGCAAAATGTGTGTTACTAATCCATTATTACTAACTAAGGCTGAACCTAGTAAATTTCCATCATCCCAGTGTTATCCTTCGTGGCTTCTTTTCCTTCCTTGATTCACAGTGAGTTGTTCCTTAGGCTACCAATGACCCCATCCATTTTAGAAATGAAGACACTAAGAAAAGATTGAGTAATTTCAGTAGCATCATGACCTGGGTCTCAGAACTGGAGAGCCTGCTAAACCTTGCTAGCTGATTCAGGAAAAGGATTAACCTGACAGCATTAAAAATAATAATGTCTGTGTGTCCTCAGCCAGCAGTTGCTGTGGTCTCCCCTCCAGGATTTCTACTCAAAATAGAGCTGAGATCTTTTAACCAATTGTATTGCTTTCTTTGAAACATATCATGTTTAGCACTTACTCGTATTACCTTACATGTTTATACTTTTATAATTAGATTAGAAAAAATCTTAAAATAGGACACGTTTAGAAAATTGGATAATTTTTCAAAGTTGTAAAAGAACTGAAATTATAGCAAACTAAAAAAAAAGAAGCAATTATACCCTAACAGGTGGGGATTTCTTCCTTAAAATTATCCCAGGATTATTTTTACCCACAAAGAATGTCAACATTTTCCAATGAATCTCCATCTCGACATCTTATTTTTAAAGGAGATCGCTACATCAGTACATGAATCCAAACCTTCAAACTTGAGTACAGACTTTTAAAAGGCATATTTCTATCGCTCAGTGAATTGACTGGTACAAATTCTTCCTGCTTCTTTCTTTCTTTCTTTTTTGGACAGAGAAATTATCTTATCCAAAAGTACACATTAGTAAAATAGGATTGGGAAGCTGCTTATTTCCTCTGGAATCATCCAGACTTGTCAAAGGAGTTTTCCTTACAACTCAGAAGCAGCTTAATGGGTCCCTGGCCCATCCTCTGTAATGCCAACTGGGGAACAGTAGGGTTTCTTGTTCAGAGATCATGAGTTTCATTAGCACTAAGAGTGGTGGTGATGGGGAAAGGATCTTTTTCTTATGCAGACAGAAGAAATGTGCCCCCATTTTGGCTCCTTCCACTTGTATAAATGTAGGCTGGAACCTGAAACCTTAGAACAGCCCCCAATTTAAACTTTGAAAGTCTAGTGCCAGAAGAAGGTGGCCAACCCCCTAAACTGCCTGGGGTTGAAGAGATCACTTTCACCCCTCGAGACTCTCACTGTTCTGGAAGACACCAAACTGTAGACATGTAGGCAATGACAACCCGCTACCTTTTTCCTTGTATGATCTTCCTTTTGCAGGCAGCTTGGGGTGGGGGATTACTGATGTCCCGGAAACACAAGTGGAAACTGAGCGGCGTGGAGAGGTACGCCCGTTTTTTCTTGTTAACAACGTAAAGCATGAAAGCTAAATATAAACAAGTTACATACAAGCTCTAAGAACTCTTGGAATACAGGTGAGCCCGTTCTGTGCAGTGCTTGTGTGCCTCGCCTGGGTGGTCATAGACACATGAGCATCATGTGTAAACAACAAAAAGCAGCCAAATCCCTTATCAAGTGGCCCAAGCGGAATGTTTCTTCAACAGAGATTCCTAACTACAATCCGCAGTTGGCCAGGAGACTCAGGAATGACCTTCCTAGAATCTCTGAACCAACTACCAAAGTTGTTTAAAACCTATTAGCAGGTCATAGTGTTCCAGGGAGAGGGTCTATAGCCTTCATGCTCCATAAAAGGGTAATATCCACCACTTTAAGGAAACCAATAAGTACCTTTGCACCTTATAATTTATCAGTGTTGCAAGCATGGGTCTAGCGTTTAATACAGCCTGTTGAAAGCAAGATAGTGTGATAACATCATCTAATGGTTTCGTTCCCATGAAAATTTTTTTAACATAGTTCTGATTGACCTAGCAAAGCACCTTTTATTTTTCACCCAGAGACTAAGCAGTAGGTGGTTGAGAAAAGCAAAGGAAATAATATTTGATTAGCATAAGACATATTCAGGTCTGAAGAGAAAAGAAAAAAATTATAGAATGCAAAAGCAGCCCCAGGCTTTGCTGACCATGCACAAAGGGAGCTCGGTGTCCCCAGTTCCATTATGCAATGGCAGGTCAACAGCAGTGGTGAGCTGTGACACTCCAGGCGGCTGGAGAGCCTGAGTTCATCCAAGGCCAAGTGCCGACCACGACCCACCAGGTAGCCAGGTGCTGCCCAGGAAGAGCTTCCCGCCAGCTCTGCCCCTGGACGTGTTGGCACAACCCCTGTTCCGGGATGAGGGGAGAGGCCGTTGGGGTGTGGGAGCATCTGTCAGCCCTGGTTGTGCAGGCAGCCCAGAATGAACGCGCAAGGCATGCTCTGCGATACCCAGGCCGGCTCACACACAGAGAACCTGCAAGTTAGAAAGACGGGGCGGGAGTTACCGAGGCAGAGTCAGGGGCATGCTGCCTAGTTCATGGAAGACTCAAGTCAGAGCAGCTGAGGCGCATGTCAGCAGGATAGCTGTCCCTGAGTCTGCTGGCTGGGGTCAGCGCCTGCCATGTAGGACCGCCCACACTCTGATCGCAGGGACCCATTTCGGTAATGGAGGCTGAAGGCAGGCATAACCCCCTCACAGAGGGAGCCAGTCTTGGCCTCTGCCTCTGGCCCTCCGGCCCTTCTCCCATGCCCAGTTTCTATTCCACCCCCCCCCCGCCCCCACCGTGAAGCTCTGTCTAGAATGGGATGCATAAGGAGGAGGCAATGCAGGGAGAGACAATGCAAAAAAAAAAAAAAAAAAAAAAAAGAACAGCTTGGAAGATGCCTGCTCAGATGATCAGAACAAGAACTAAATTCTCGTGCTTTCAAGAGAGGTGACCTGCACACAGTACTTTTCTCTTCTTTGAGTTTCTTTCTGGCTGGCACAAAAAGTAAGCATCTATTATTGTCCCTTTAATACACCTGGGACTCCCAAGTGCTGAGAGTCTTGGAGCGTCCTCTGCCAACAATGACTTAAAAGCTCACTAAATTACCTCCCCTGGGCCTTGGAAAAATAACACCCACACACTTTTGTACTAAAGACTATTATTTGGGAGCAAAGCTTAGAACATTCACTGTGAAACACAGAGTCTGTTCCAATTGCCATCATTCTTCAAACTGTATCATAACTAAATCTACTAAGTGGCATAGCCAAATAGGAAGTCCCCAAAAATGAGGGACTCCCACCGACCTACCTGAGAGTATCCATCTTGCTGACTTATTAGCAAAAGGCACACTATCTTTGGCAAATAAGGTTGTAGGGCCAGCAGACAGTCCTGGGCATAATGTGTATGGGCTAAAGTTGAAGAAAGAAATTTGTCTCACTTGGGAGTATAGATTTTTTCAAGGAGTCACTCTAAAGTCTAGGACATCCATGGACAGTTCTTGTCCCCAGATCAAGAGGTTCCCCAGCAGTCACAGGCCGCCCCATGATATCCGTATAACAAAATGGCATGTGTAACCAGAGCCTGCCTGGGCTCCCTTGGAGTAGCTACCAAATTCTCAGAAAGCAACCTTCTTCCTTGCTAATGGTGTCAAGCTTTCTAGAGATGGTGTAGCTGAGAGGGTGTGCCAAGAGCCCTACCACTCCAAAGCACGCTTCTGAGCACTGTGAACTGACTCCTTTAACCCCTCCCAACAGCAGGTGGCTGCTCACCTGTGATAACCCTTTGTGGTGGCCCACTCTAGGCTTTCTGGCCCAGCTGAAGGTCCCAAAATGGCTTCTGCTATATTACCGACTATTGCCCTCACTCCTGCGCTGAGAGCTGGGGGGTTAGAAATTTCATTCAGTAGTTACTAAACCTCTACCATATGCAAAGCCCAGTGAGAGCACAAAGACCAATATGGTGTGAAGCCTCTTTTTGAAGGGTTTCGAATCTAGTAGGGAAGAGTGACAGTCAATGATGGATTAATATTAAAGGCAGAGGAAGTAAGGCTCAAGAGACAGATGAGCGAGCCGAGTGGCAAGCACAGAGAAAGGAATGATTCCTGCTCAACAGGGTTATTACAGGAAGGCTTCACGCAGGGGCGGGCATTGGTGCTTCATGAGACAGAAGTGAGAGAAGGACATTCAAGGTGAAGAGCTAGCTAGGACATGGAGGTTTGAAAGAGCCCTTGGAGGAAGTCCAGATAAGTTTGGCTGGAGACTTAGCTGGACTCATGGCAGTGACTAGGAAGCTCACAGAGCATCACAAGTCCTGCCCAGGGAGTCTCAGTGGAGGGCTTGCCTCCTGGGCCACGTCAGGATTAACTGAAACCCCCAAGCTGAGAATCACTGCTGTAGGAGCTCCTATTTTGCATGGAGGGCCTTGTATTTCTCAGGTTGGGGGGATGAAAATGAAAGCCCTGGCTGTGGCAGCCATAGTGGGGGTTTGAAGAGACAAGGCAGATTATCCCACCTGCCCTTTGGAAAGACAGCTCTGGATTCGGGAGGAGGTGGAAGCCATCGAGCTCTTGAGAATGTCCAGATGAGGGTGGTCAGTGGAGGTGAGAGAAGCTTAGGGTGCAAAGCTGGGTGGTAGCAGCAGGGCCGGAGAGGATGGAAGGAACCCAGGGGTGTCACTTCCACAGAATGGAACAAACTATCACAGAGACTTGCTCATCTATGGGACCAAGTGTGATTTTTTTTTTTTAAGTTTTTGGTTCCTTTTTTTTTTAACTTTATTTATTTATTTACGTATTTAGAGAGAAAAAGTAGGGGAGAGGCAGAGAGAGAGGGAGAGACAGAATCCCAAGCAGGCCCCGTGCCATCAGCGCAGAGCCACATGCAAGGCTTGAACTCACAAACCAGGAGATCATGACCTAACCTGAGATCAAGAGTCAGATGTTTAACTGACTGAGCCACCCAGGCGCCCCAGGACCAAATGTAATTTAAAGAACAGGGCCTTCTGTTTATCTCCCTTGCTTCTGAAACATTGTGTGTGTGGATAGATAGATAGATAGGTCACTCTAATTACACGAAGAGCATTGTATATTAGAGAATGCTTCAATGTTATTTGTATATGATATTTTCTTTTGCCTTACTTTCCAATACTTTAAGAAACTCTAGAGACTTTCCACATTGACAGATTTTACAGTCTTGTATAACACATTAAAAAGTATGGGGAACACTTTTTTTTTGTAGGTATCTTTCACCAAGCTGGCATTAGCTGGTTGTACTATATGAAACATCTTCCTCAAAAATTACAACAAAATCTAGCACCAAGGACTACAGAATAAAACACTTTATACAGAGTTTTGTTTTTTTTTTAGATAGAGCTGCAAGAGGTGATATCATGAGAGCAGGAAGAAGAAAATAATACTAAAACATTGAGATTTGAAAGCTGGGTATGTGGGAGGAAGACAGTGTGAAGCACTGAGGCACGGAACAGATGAGAGAGGATAGATCTGGAAGAATGAGGAGGGGGCAAGTTAATGAACTCGTGTGGGGTCTGCGGAGTTTGAGGCACAAATATGGGCACAAGGATATGTCTTAAAACAGCCTTAAGGGATTCAGTTTTCTCTAACTTACGGTAAATCACAGAAGCCCCGTGACTGAGTCTCACAGCAAAACATTTTGAAATGAACCTGAGGTTGTTTTTCATAAATTGCCAACATTTCTCAAATAAACTAAGGGCACATCACTGAATCACTGTGTGCAGCTGTTTGCCATGTTTGAGAGGCAGCCCCGCTAAGATAGAGGCAGGACGGGAGACTCCACGTTGGACAGTTGTGGGCCTCAAGCAGCTTCTACTCTAAAAGGACAAGTTGGCCACTGCGTAAAAACAAATGCCTCCCATCAGATAAGTGGAGAACAGCTATTGTCTTTTCCATCAGGTGTCATCATTGACAATGCTGAGTTTCATCAGGATTAGGCATAGGCCTGTAGAAGATTATAGAAGTGGTGTATAGGTGCTCAATGTCACCAAGCGTGTAAATGATAGAATTGAAATCAATAGCAAGAGCCAGCCTTATTTAATGCTTACGGTGTATCAGAAGATGAGCCAGGTCTGTTCACTGAGTCAGATGAAGTCCCCAGGCCAGGAAGCGTTCTCCGACTGGCCAGCTGACACCCACCATTCGTCAGGCAAATGTATGAGATCTGTCCCAGCTTCTCATTTCTTCCCAAGGTTCTTGCACTTCGAGAGCTGGGAGGAGGGTGAGCCCAAGGCTGTTGTTCCCCCAGAGGATGGGCAGTAATCTGCCACACTCTGCAGGCAGCCGCCTTGGCTGTCCTCCTTTCCCTCCTCCTGTGAGTCTCCTCATACCAGGGTCACATTCATGATTCTCCTCACCAAGGATCCCTCAGGCTCTCAGAAGACACGCACAGAGGCTCACCTTGCAATGGGAACTCATTCATGGAAGGAACAGCTGCTTCCCTGGAGCTGGGGGAGGAGCTGGTTGGAGCAGACCTGAGGGAGTGAGGGAGAGAAGTCAAATGAACTTGAAGAAGGCTGCAGAGATAATAACACTTGATCTGAGTCTTGGAGAATAAGTAAGATTTAACCAAGTGAAGCAAAGAGATATGACATTCCAGGAAAAGGAAATGGCAGTAAGGAGACCCAAGAGCATGAGAATAGAATTTTCTGAGAATGAAAATGAAATAGTCTATTGTGATGAAAATGGGTATGGGAAAGTGAAAGAACACAACACTAAACACGTGGCCTGGGCTCACCTTTGAGGGCATTATTATTATTATCATTGTTATCATCATCTGACCCAGAACTATGGTTAAACTTTTCCGATAGCATAAATCCTGGACAATCGCTATTACTGATGGGAAAGCATGTATTTCTCAAGTGTGTCAGGACAAAATAGACTGAAAACTGCTGTAGGGGCCATAGCATATCCCACCTGTGGTCCAGAAGGATGTCTGTGGGTTAGAGAAGAGACGGAAATGGATGAGCTAGAAGCTGTTATGAAAAGACACATAGGAGAAACGTCATGATCAACTGAGTAGGAGAAGTTGAATGAGGAGAACAAAATTAAGCAGTGAAATGAGCCACCACTCTGAGCTCTGAGCCACTATGGTAGTGTCAGAAACAGGAACAATGGAGGCACACAAGGACAGTCCCTTCACCTGCATGGTGCTCTGCTCCTTGGTGGCCAGAGACAGGACCCTGAACTGCTTGATCCCCATCCCTAGAAGGGGCTTTCAGACCACATGTAGACTGGCTGAATTCCTGCATGGAAGCAAAGGGGGAACCACACGAAGGTGACTGCCCTCACCGACTCTCTCTGTAGACAAAGAAAAGAGTGTAGAATGAAGAGGCCACTTCTTGTTTTGCAAAGTTAGTATCATCCAGGAGTCTGAGAAACAGTGCTAAGAACCCTGAAGCTCTGCTGTCCCCGCACAAGACCTTGTAGTCTGAGCCTGTCATGGACGCCACCCTCTTAACTTGATTTCTTTCCTTTAGGGCCAACTCTGTGACATGGAACCCACACAAGATGATGGGCGTCCCTTTACAGTGCTCCGCTCTCCTGGTTAGAGAAGAGGTATGTCTTTCCTGACTCACAGCCCAGTCCACCCATGGAGTTCTGTAGAGTAAATGTGTGTAGTGTCAGAATCCTAATACAGGATGATTTCACAGCCTGGAACAGTGAGCCATATCCAAAAGGGGAAATTGTTAATGAGGATGATTATGAGATCCTCTTATGTCCAAGTATAGGAGAGTTATATTTTGAGTTGATAAGACAGGCAAGTTTCATACATGGCTAAACTGTACTTGTGAAAAAGGCGTAGAATGTTACATTGTACTCAGCAGGGTCAACAATGCATCAAGAGAAACTTAGCGTTCAAAAAAAAATTAATGGGTTTAAAAGTAGAGTTCCAAGATGAAGAAGGTGGTAGTCTCCCCCTGTCCTCTGGATAAACCATGCCTGGAGTTGTTTGCTTAGGTCAGTGCCAAATTGCATATGGGGCCTCATCAGGCTAGAGTTCCAATGATGAGCAACAATTGGTGAATGTGTGAGAGATGTGGTTGAAATGACTAAAGATGTTTACTCTAAAAAGAAAAAGAAACTTAAAAGGCTGAGAAGATGGCAGCCTTCTGCCTTTGAGTTTAAATGACCCTCAATTGGAAGAGATTTGTTTGTTTTTCTTGCAGCCTCAGGGACCTGGGTCTGTAGCCCTGGGTGTAATGATTTGATGGCATAATTGGAATACTCTATAATTGAACTTCTGACTTTGGTCAATAAAAGGAAAGCTTTTCTAAAAATTAAGCTTCCCCCACTTAGTGAATGCTTTGCATAGGAATAAATTCACCACCAGGGGGAGGTGACTGGAGATTGGACAGATACTTATTAGTAAAGGGAGAGAAAAGATTCCTTCATTGAAAAGGAACAGAATAAAAGCTCTAGGATCCCTTCCAAATCCAAGAGTTTATATGCTCTGACAGCATGTCCCTTACGGAGATATAAGGAATAAGATCATTGTATAAGACCATATTAAGTATTCTGTGATAAGAGAGTTCTGGGTTTGAAAAATCTTGAGATATTTCAGGGACACCTGGGTGGCTCAGTCGGTTAAGCGTCCGACTTCGGCTCAGGTCATGATCTCATAGTTCATGAGTTCGAGCCCCACATGGGACTCTGTATTGACAGCTCAGAGTCTGGAGCCTGCTTCAGAATCTGTGTCTCCCTCTCTCTGCCTCTTCCCTGCTCACACTCTGTCTCTCTCTCTCAAAAATAAACATTAAAGCAAATTTTTAAAATAAAAATAAATTTTGAGGCGCCTGGGTGGCTTAGTCGGTTAAGGGTCCAACTTTCACTTAGGTCATGATCTCACGGTTCGTGGGTTCGAGCCCCGCTTTGGGCTCTGTGCTGACTGCCAGCTCAGAGCCTGGAGCCTGTTTCAGTCTGTGACTCCCTCTCTCTCTGACCCTCCCCTGCTCATGCTGTCTCCCTCTCTCTCTCTCTCTCTCCTAGAAATAAATAAATAAATAAATAAATAAATAAATAAATAAATAAATAAAAACATTAAAGTAAAAATAAATTTTAAATGGGATATTTTAGATTAAAAAGAGGTAAAAGCAAGAGTCATTACTTCAGGGCACATCAGAGCCTTTAATAGGCTGATATATATTGCAAATATCTTTAAAGAAGGAATTTATGAGGTAGAATTTCCTAAATTTATTTGACCATGGAAATTTCTATTACAACTATATCATCACATTGCAACTATTAGTGTATTTAAAATTGTTTGCAACAGGGGTGACTGAGTGGCTCCGTTGGTTAAGCATCTGACTCTTGATCTCAGCTCAAGTCTTGATCTCAGGGTCCTTGAGTTCAAGCTCCATGTTGGGCTCCATGCTGGGTGTGGAGCCTACTTAAACCAAAGTAACCTGCAACATAAATGGTCTATAATTTTTAATGGCTTGGAATCAGGATATTATCAAGACTCTTTACGTGAAAAACATCATGTTTACTTATCTTTTTGTGTAATGAGACTGCTGCTGGCCAACTTTTGAGAGGTCATGTGTTTTGGTTTCTTTTAATGTTTATTTATTTATTTTGAGAGGAGCTGGAGAGGCAGAGAAAGAGAGAGAATCCCAAGTACCGGCACTCCATTACCGCATCTTTATACTCCACTGTTTGTGGTAGTTACAGTGGGATATTTCATTGACAGTGATAATTAATTTGCCCTAACACCAGAAGCTTCCTATGGAAAATGGGTGGCAAAATGACAGAACTATTCCAAAGAACACTGAATGAATCATGCTGTCTGACTAAAGCAGCATTGCCGGTCTCCTCGCCAGAAACCCCACCACATTTTAATTTGTCACGAACCACAGGAAGCCTCTGACTCTTTCCTTATCTACAGTACAATTGTGCTTTTACAGAATGCTTGGCTTTTTTTTTTTTCTTGTGACTCATGGAAAGCAAAGAAAAGACTAAAATGTGATCATCTAGTTGAAGTTAGAAGTGAGAGTTCTTTAAAAAAGAATTTATCCAAACTCACACAAAATGTAATGCAACTAAAATCATAACAAGGACCTGAACAACCAGATGGTAGGCAATAAAACTGGTCTCAACCCTATAGTTCAGGCTCCATTTGCAGTGGAATTCATTGTTATTCTTTTGAGAGAAAGGGAAATTAAATTAAGTAATTAAATCAAATAATTGTAATGGCGTGGTAGAATGACATTGGATTTGAAAAAGGAAATTCACTTGAAGACCAATACGATTGAAAATTGCAATTGGATTCCATTTTGTTTTGTTTCATGGTCACAGAAACTTGGCATGCAAGCTCACAAAAGGTGCCACTAGTCCTAAGGGAGACCCCCCACCCCCAGAGTGTGGAATGGTGGTAGTGAGGACCAGCTTCTACTGGGTCCTTGGGACCATGGGTGGCTCAGTCAGTTAAGTGAATCACTCTTGGTTTCAGCTCAGGTCATGATCTCATCGTTCATGAGACTGAGCCCCATGTCAGGCCTGAGCTGAGTGTAGAGACTCACTCTTTCTCTGCCCCTATTACTCCCTCTCTATCTTGCTCCCACTCTCTCTTGCATAAATTCCAAATAAATGAATGAACATTTGTTTTTTAAATGCAGTACTGATGTTCTAACTACTCTTGAGAGGAGAACATGGCATTTCAAAGATTGGTTATATAGGGGCACCTGGGTGGCTCAGTCGGTTAAGTGTCCGACTCCAGCTCAGGTCATGACCTTGCGGTTCATGGGTTCGGGCCCCGTGTTGGGCTCTGTGCTGACAGCTAGCTCAGAGCCTGGAATCTGTTTAGGATTCTGTGTCTACCTCTTTCTCTCTGACCCTCCCCTGTTCACGCTGTCTCTCTCTCTCAGAAATAAATAAAACATTAAAATTGTTTTTTTTAATTTTTTTTTTAAATATTTTTTATTTCTAGGAGAGAGAGAGAAAGAGACAGCGTGAGCAGGGGAGGGTCAGAGAGAGAGGGAGACACAGACTCTGAAATAGGCTCCAGGCTCTGAGCCGGCAGTCAGCACAGAGCCCGACGCGGGGCTCGAACCCATGAACCGCAAGATCATGACCTAAGTGAAAGTCGGACGCTCAACCGACTAAGCCACCCAGGCGCCACTAAAATTGTTTTTAAAAAAACAAAGATTGGTTACATAAGACATCTCAGAATAACAATGGCTTTATTTTTTTAGATTTCAGCATATAAAAATAAGAATAAACTATATTAAAAGCTATGACTTCCAAAAAGGACTCAAACCCTAACAGCCAGATGATAAAGTACTTTAACTAAGTACAAACGAAACACTAAAATAATCACGCTATTAGTATTTTACAGAACGAAAGTTTCTAAAATATTAATTACAATAAAATCAAAACATCAAGACGTTCCCTCAAAGAATCAACATTATACTCTGTTATGATTGTTTTTAAATAAATGCAGTCTCATAAAAAGGAGAGTAAAAGCATACAGTTCATTGTTGTTAACCTGAAGTTACATTTGACCCTGAGCCCTTTATCCCACAAAGCTGGCCTATCCCAACAGCTCATACTGTCTGGATATTGGCCCCATTTAAAAAAAAAAATTGATTCTTACTGCTTTCTTTCTCCAGGAAATTCAGTGTCCCTTGAAAATTTTTTTCTTAGTAGTTTTCACCACCATGTAAATCTAACAGAATACCTGATCAAGTCAGTATAGTCTCCTAAGTTTTCCCATCTCTTTTAGGGGTTGATGCAGAGTTGCAACCAGATGCATGCTTCCTACCTCTTCCAGCAAGATAAACACTACGACCTGTCCTATGACACCGGAGACAAGGCCTTACAGTGTGGACGCCACGTCGATGTTTTTAAATTATGGCTAATGTGGAGGGCAAAGGTGAGCATGTGTAGATCGGCTGCATATTGACTAAAGACAGAAACTATATCTGGTGACCCTTATTATGAAATTAAAAACTGATTTCCAGGTTGCAAATTACCCACGATTAAGTTTCTTTAACCCTGTATCTACATATCTGCCTTCTACATGGGTGAGAACATAAGCCACATTGCTTCTAATGCTCACTCATCTAGAAAACAAGTCCGGGCTGGTTTATACGGCAGGACATATGGATTCTTAAGAGGTGTTTTGTTCTTGCTGTTGTTGGCTCTCAACTCTTGGTTTTTACCTAGTGATTGATCCCTCGGGGCGGTTGGTGCCTTATTTTTGTTTGGAGGACAAAAATGAAAAGTCAAAACCCCACCATGATAAGCCTGCTTTTGACATTTCAAGGGATAACCTCTAGTTATAAAGCCTTTTAAAAACCCTGAAACTACCCAGTAACCTCCATTTGTTCAATTTCTCTGTTGACCCCAGCACTGAACTATAGATGATCACTTGTCTCAGAAACAGAGACTCTGTAAGTGAGAGTGCGCAGTACTGGCTGGACCTAACTGGCACCCTCAAAGAACATACCCGAATGCTGAAATGTAAGCGTGCTGGAAAGGTCCAAGATTTTATTTTTAATTTTGACCAGATTCCTAATTTCAATGTCACAAATCAGTGACTTCCCACCTGGTTTCATTTACCTCCCACAGGAGGGAATGGTCAGAGCCAGCTGGACACGCCAGAAAAATCCAACTGCTAGAAAAACCCAACTACCAAAAGAGTGCACAAGGGCAACTTGACAAAGGAAACCAGAAAGGGAGAGTTTAGAGGAAGGCAGGCATGCCCCGAGGTCCGGTACATTTGGGAGCAGGGCCCCAAAGGTAGCTATAAGCTTTCTCAGGAGCCTCCACAAGCAGGTGACGGTTCAATCCCAGGGGACAGAAGACATCAGGAAGGAGAAGCCAGAGCACTCTCTTCCCCTTGTCTGTGTGAAGAGGAACCATGTCTACAGCAACGAATTCCATGTGTTATTCTTTATAAAATGTTTCAAAGTAGAACTGAATTCCTTGAACAGTTAGAGAGGTGGGTGGGTAACAAGAAAATGAGGGGGCTTGGCAGTGAAATAGTGCAGTCAACAGCGATTTTATGGAATCTTCTTTAAATCCATCCAGGAAGAAAGGCAATTTAAATAGAAAGATGGTCTCATTTAATGCAAAAATAACTCTTCCGTGGTTTCCAGGGATGGCTGGGCTCCATATTCTTCAGATAAGCCTCCATAGTAGTATTTGCTCTCTCTGAATTTCCTCTAAGTGTTGCTAAGTATCCAGCAGCCACCGGCAGTTGTTACCTCGTAAAGGTGGTATGAGGGGTGGGCTTCCATCCCTTGAGCTGGCCAGGGGCCCCTTCCTCTCTTGAAAGATGAGAGCCTGCAAGGACACTGACTTGTACCCCACCAGCCAAGACAAGACTCATTCTGTTGGCAAAGACACTTTCATTGGGCAAAACATAAATAAATCAAGAATGGTAATTATTGCCATACTCTCAAGTTATTCTAACGTGAGTAGGTTTTTCATTTCATTGATTGGTGGGAATCAAAAATGATGGACATAAATATCAGCTAGGTAGTTGAGGAAAGCCTGAGCTCTAAATATTGTTCAGTATCATCCTTTTTGTCTCCTTTTCCTGTGGTGTTCTTGTTAAGATGATGATCATTAGCTATATTTACACAGAAATGTTCCTCTAATGGTTCATCAGTTCCCGCTGCTCCGTTTCTGTCTGAAGCCGCCTCGCCAGCATGAGGCAGCGGTTGGTTGTAAGAGAAATAACTTGGAGGACATCAGGTGTGAATTAAACAACAGGAACAATCGAAGCCTGAAATAGGCAGAGGATCCAGTTTCTAATGGGCTGAAATAAAGGCACCAGAAGAGGGAATAAGAAGGGAAAAAAGAACAATCCCAGCAACCCCATAGTTTATAGATACATATTCCTTTAACTTCTCATGCAAAACCTTAAGTATCTAGCCACGGAAATAGCAGAAACTGCCATTTGCTTTTCAACTTAAAGCTGCACGTTTTGCAAAATGAAATGATAATAATTATAAAAGCCATAAGTTCAGTCCTACAATCCAGATGAGGGGCGAAGGTAATCACCCTCCTGTGTCCCCAGCTCCCTACTGATGCCAGCCAGGGAAGAAGTCCTCCTGTCCTAAGAAGAACTGTGAAAGAGTTCGTATGACCTTCCATCTTGTATCCCCTCAGGAATGACAAACCAATGCTGAAGAGGAGCCAGCATCAGTCTGTTATCAGATCTACCTGGAAAATGCAATAGTAAGGTGAACCCATAGTTTTCTCCTTAGCAGTACAAACCACAAGAAACACAGTAACCTAAGTATAAATATTGCTTAATCTGTTAATGACTGATGGAGCTAAATGCATTGATGATAGCATCAGATTAAGTCCAAGATAACTTGATGAGAACAACTGTATGCAAAAAAAAAAAAAAGCCTCTTGATGTGGATGCTAGGAGGCATTCTAGACAGACACCTAAGCCTGTCATAAGCAAAGTCCCCGCCTGCCCTCAATTCTGTTCTTACTGAGTAGACCTTTCATTTTGTCTGCATTTAATTAGAGAATGCTAAAATTTGATGATTATTTTCCGGATGTCACAGATTTCCATAGTTGTTAAAACTAAGTGTAGATAGGGGTGCCTGGGTGGCTCAGTTGATTAAGTGGCTGACTCTTTAGTTTCGGCTCAGTTTTGGTCATGATCTCACAATTCATGAGATCAAGCCCTGCATTGGGCTCTGTGCTGACTGAGTGGAGACTGCATGGGATTCTGTCTCTCTCTCTCTCTCTCTTTCTTTCTCTCTCTCTCCACCCCCCCCACCCTTCCTCCACTTGCTTGCATGAGTGTGCTCTCTCTCTCAAAATAAACTTTTTAAAAAATTTTAAAAACTCAGTTTGGATGGATGGATAGATAGATAGATATAGAGAGATAGGAAGGAAGGAAGGAAGGAAGGAAGGAAGGAAGGAAGGAAGGAAGGAAGGAAGGAAGAAAGGAAGGTAGATGAACAAACCTTAATTTTAGGCCTGAAAGGATGGCTTAATAATATAACTACCTAGTTTTCATAGTACATCTCTGTTTGTATATAGTTATGCAAATTATACAAATTAGCAGGTTTCCCTATAGTTTTCTGTGATTGGCCTCTCTCATTGAAAATGTAGATAACAGAGGGACTAACAAATGGCTGAGAAAAAAAAAATACCCGGATAAAACTATTAAAGGGAAATTGATGCCTGGCTCACTCTTTGCTGAGTAACTGAATGTTCATTTTCTCTTAAAATATTAATTTATTTTAATAAGTTAGATAATGAGCATCTGTTATTGTGCCTGATGCTGGATGGGATGAGGGGGCCACAATTTTCCAGATGAGATAAGATAAATGCACAGATAAGCATCACAGAAGACAGAATATAACTGGTTGTAAAAGAAACCTAGATGCACCTCCCCAGAAGTTTGAGAATGGGGAGCCCATCCCAAGTTTGAGAGCCAAGAATGATATAGTAAGAGGTCACCTTCAATGAGTTCCAGGGTGGCGCAGTTGGTTAAGTGTCCAACTCTTGGTTTCTGGTCAGGTCATGATCTCACAGTTCATAAGTTCAAGCCCTGCATGGGGCTCCACACTGGCAGTGTGGAATCTGCTTGGGATTCTTGCTCTATCTCCCTCTCTCTCTCTGCCTCTCCCCACTTGCTCTCACTCTCTCTAGAACAAATAAATAAACTTAAAAAAATTTTTTTTAAAATGGGTCACCTTCCAGAAAGGTCTAGAACAGGACAGGTAGAATACATAGGATTTCAGCCAGTGGAGCTGGGAGGAGACTGTGGGACGCAGGTCTAGCAGGGGCTCTCCTGCATACTCTGATGGTAGTGGAGAGTCCAGGTTGCTGGAAAAGTAATTAGGGAGTTATCACCCAGATAAAAATAGGGCCTAGGTAGGGGGGCAGCTGTAAAAATGGAGATGGTAGCAAAGGATTCAATCATTATTTCAAACCCAGCATTTCTGGGGTATGAGAGCATTAGACAAGGGTTTTAAGAAGTAGAGAAGACTCGTGAGTAGCCCTGATGCTGTCAGGCCCCGGAGACCACACAGCAGCAGTAGCTGAATGCTGGGAGACAGTAGCATCACTGAAGATGTGAATACACACCATGTTCATCATCCTGAAATTCCAACTTGGGGGTCTGGGGTGGGACCTGAGAATCTACATTAATAATGCAGTTCATCTGGTGCTGATACAGATGGTTCCTCAGAACATCCTGTGTCAAAACACTGCCCCAGGGATTAAAAGTTACACTTCCATTCATTCATCCACTCATTCAGCCAATGTACCTTGAACCCCTAATGTATGCCAGCCCTGCTGGCATGATGGAGACTGTAGTGAACAAAGGAAATACCAATCTGTGCCTTTGTGGAGTGTCCATTGCAGCCAGATCAGTCTAAACCAATCCTAAGTGTGTAGGCAATGAGGGAGAAAGTAAAACCACCTCTCTCCCAAAGCTCCCTCAGCATAACTCTGATACTGGGGTCCAGACTTCCACTTAGGCATGCCCCTCAGAGCCTTTAGCCTCCTTCATAGCAACCCAGGTCTTGGTGATAAAGTTTTCCATGTACTGTTGTCATCCTCAGAATGAGAACTGTGTGGCGTATGATAAGCACTCAACATATATTTGATGAATGAATGCATTTTGGAGAATCTCGTAAAAGCCTTCTAAACCATGGAAATAAAACATGGATCTTTTTCCCATAAGTACCCAATATGAAGAGAGGCCAGGCTTCTAAAGGCACACTAGAGTTCCCTGTGTCACTCCCCCCTGTACCTCTTTAGCTTTCAATTAATGAGATAATCAGTTTATCATCTTAAGTGAAGTCCTAGACTAGCAAAGGCCAGAAGACTCCCATTCCAGTCTCTGAAAATCCTACTACCTTTCGATACACTCACACTCATTTTCAGAGCATCCATTTTACCTTACCATGTCCCTGTATGGGAGATCAGGCAGGTACCACCATTCCCATGAGAACAGTAAGATTAGCCAAGGCCATGTGCCTGGACAGGATCAGAGTGCTGCTGGTCCCGGCTATATCTTGGATCAGATAAGTGTAAGTTTAATTCCAACTCTGGAGTGCTCCAAAGGATCCAGTTTGGAGAACAATTAACTTCCCTCCCTCCTACCTAGGGTCCATCCCCAAGTGTACCCAAACTGCCAGGTCAGTCCAAACCAACCCCAAATCCTTGGTACCATAGAGTCATAGAGTGCATGGTCTGGTCTGAGTATTCAGGTTCAGGGACCTTCCTTGGAGCCATCAGGAACAAGTCAGACTCCTTGGCCAATCAAGTAGGGCAGCAATCTCCATAGAAATTATTTCTTAACCCATCAGATTTCTTTTTTTGCTTCAGATGTTAAAGTCACTGGCCATGCTACATCCCCCTTTTAGCTGAGATGATGAGACTATAAATACGAACATGGGCCCATCTCATGTCCATTACAGCTTCTTCCTCTAGTTTCCATGTTGGATTAGTCACTGGTTGGCCTGTTCTAAGTGCTCCTGGGATGAGCATTAGCTGTTTGTCTATGCTTTCCATTAGCGCTCCATAAATGCTGAAAGAGTGAGGAAGAAAGCCATTTTGAAAAGTAAGTCCCCGAAGTGTCCTGAGACTAGTTAAACAGCACCAGTCTAAGGCTGTAGTGTTGTTTCTCACAAGTCCAGATCTTGGGCTTCCAGAGCCAGTAACTAAAAGACCTCTATGAAAATGTTGGCCTGTTACAAGCATGTAAATCATTTGTCCCCAAAGGAGAAATCTAATGAGCTTTGCAGAATGACAGGCGGACAAAGCATCTGTGTGCCCCCTTAAGATGAATACATTCATTTGTTGAGCAAATATTCATTGACTACCTACCCTATTTGTTTCGTAATGGGGGTACATTGGTGAACAAAAGTGTGGTCTGGAAATGGTAAATTTTCATGACGGGCAGGAGCTAACCAGGCATGCTGGGGGGCCTCTGATGATGCTTCTTACCCGCAGGAAGAGAATAGCCCAGTCTCCAGTCATTCATGACTTCCATAATCACCCCGCAGAATGGCAGAGGCAAATTTTCCCCTTGAGTAATCAAAATAATTGCCTAGAGAATGGGAGCTCCAAAAGAAAAGGAAACCACCGTGAAGAGCTGTGATGACATGAAAGGAAACAAAAACACCTGAGGGGACAGCATTAAAAGAGAAGTAATCACCAGAAAAGCCTCTGGAAACACAATCTTGTGCAAGGATAGTGTGGAGCAGAGCTGAGCCAGAAGTGGCAGAAAGACCTTCAATCTCCAGAGGGATTGGTCCCAAAGAGCTCACCCGCCTTTCTCAGCCCGCCTGATAAGCTTTCCTCTTCTCTTACTCAGGGCACCACTGGGTTTGAAGCACATATTGATAAGTGCTTGGAGCTGGCAGAATATTTATACAACATCATAAAAAACCGAGAGGGATATGAAATGGTGTTTGATGGAAAGGTATGTATTCTGATCTATATGATTCCAAAAAGTTTAGTCAATTCCAATTCGTTTTTTTAATGTTGTTAAATGTTTATTTATTTATATTTAAAGTTTCTATTTAGAAAGATAGAGCATGAGCACAAGAGAAAGCAGAGGAGGGGCAGAGAGAGAGAGGGAGAGAGAGAATCCCAAGTGGGCTCCATGCTGTCAGTGCAGAGCCCAATGCCAGGCTCGATCTCATGAATTATGAGACTGTGACTGAGCTGAAATTAAGAGTTGGACACTTAACCTACTGAGCCACCCAGGCACCCCAACTATAATTCTTATCATTGATTTTTTTGTGTGTCACTCATGTACTGTTCAGGTAAGGGGGACCATTACAAAGGAGAAGCTGGGGTTCTGAGCTGGAGTAAAAACTCAAACTCACAAAACAATAACTCTGTATATTGTGAGAGTCAGGCACTCCAAAAGTGATTATGGATTTAAAAGTAGGAATTCTATTCAGAAGTTGCAGAATAGATTTGAATGGCCTTGGAATTTTCTAAATTGCCCCATGGGCTAAGTGTGACTCTCACTTTCCTCCTTGTAGCCTCAGCACACAAATGTCTGCTTCTGGTACGTGCCCCCAAGTTTGCGTGTCCTGGAAGACAATGAAGAGAGAATGAGCCACCTCTCAAAGGTCAGTGATACAGGCTTCTCTGGTGTGTACATGGATGTGTACATTGAGCCTTTCATATGCATGGCACGCATATGCCTCTAGGAGAAATCCAACCTCTGCCTTGGTGTGCAGGCCCACTCTCCTTCTTGAGGGCTCCGACAAGAACTGGCATACCCAGACTTTTAACTGCCCTATTTGCTTCTTTTTTCTGTTTAAAAAATTTTTTTATTAGAAAAAAGTTTTAATGTTTATTTGTGAGAGAGAAAGAGCGTGTGCACACATGCAAGCAGAGGAGGGGAAAGAGCAAGTGGGACAGAGGATCCAATGCAGATTCTGTGCCGACAGCAGAGAGCTTGATGTGGGGCTCAAATGCATGAACTGTGAGATCATGACCTGAGCGGATGTCAGATGTGTAACCTACTGAGCCACCCAGGCAACACCCACCCACCCACCCCGCTTTTTTTTTTTTTTTTGCTTCATTTTTCTGAGGGCAAGTTTATGATATCTTAAAATGAGCAATCAGGTGTTAGCTTTGCTGGCATTCACGATGCAGCAAGAAACCTTGCCAAAGCTGGCTGACCCACCAAGTGAAACCTTCTGTACTCAGTTGTAAGCACAGAAGAGATTTCAGGCACCAGAAATGGTTAGGAAACAGAGCTGCTGCTGACCCTCTTAAGATGCCAAGGTCAAGGCTACTGTGTGGAGCTGGCTGAACCCCAGAAGGTAATAGAGTAGGGAACAATAATAATGGCCACCGTTTAGAGTGCATATTGTGTCCCAGACTCAACTTTGATCTAGCATTAGGTCACTTAACTTTCATAAGTGTTAAAAATGACTGAAGAAGACAATGCAGGTGATAGAAACAAACTTCATTTAACACTTCATGAAGCAGACAGCCTCCATTCCCAGGGCACCAGAGAACTGCAAAATGGGTGGAAGGCAAGAAGCTTTTATAGGGTAAAGAATAAGGAACAGGAAGAGAAAGAAAATGGGTGAGGAACAAGGAGTCCCAGCTGGTTTGGCACTGGGTAGTGGCTGACTGGATATTCCTGGTTTCTGGTCAAGCAGAGCATTTACAGGGATGTGAAAGTTAAGTGTCCTTTTCCTGAATGACATCCTGGGAAGGAGCAGCTCCATCATGGGGCCTAGAAACGTATTTCAACCTAAGTAACCTAATGTAGGAAGCATTGCTGTCTCTCCCTTATGCTGATGGGGGCATGAAATCGTGGGGAGAAAACATCACTTTCTCAAAATCACTGACTCCAGAGCCGCAGGGCTTGAGCTTCAAATTTTTCTGTGTCGGGTAAGATCCTTTATCTTTTCTCTTCTCCTGCTCCTGTCATTTATACATGGGTGATATTTGGTTTATGATGTACACCAGAGAGTCTTGAAGGGAGGTAAATGCGGGGCCCCATCCCAGTGCTGAGGAATAGCACACTAGGGATGGTTGTGTGTATTTGAATCTCAGAGGGTGGGGTAGTCGGTTGGTTTTCCATTTACCACAAAGGACGAGACTTCCTCCAGTCATTGCCAGGAGCACGGAAGGCCCTCTCCCCCTCTGTGCAGGAGGCGGACTCCCTCACTGACCTTTCAGAATTTTCAGTACTTTCTTTGAGTGTGGATTTTTTTTGTTTATTTTTGTTTATTTTGAGAGAGAGAGTGTGTGTGTGTAAATGGGGGAGGAGCAGAGAGAGAATCCCAAGCAGGCTCTACACTAATCAGTGCAAAGTCCCACATGGGGCTCAATCCCACAAACTGTGAGATCATGACTTGAGCTGATATCAAGAGTCGGATGCTTAACTGGCTGAGCCACCCAAGTGCCCCTTGTATAGATAACAAACCTCCAGAAGGGCTTATAGATATGAATACTTGTCCATAGGCAATCCAGGATCAAACCCTTTTTGGGAGGAAACTTGCACATAATTGAGGTATTTAAATCAAGCTTCCTAATTAGAGGAGGCCTCCTGGCCACACATTAGAATCAGCCTGAAGTCTTATAAGAAACACTGGTGACCAGGTCTTTACCCTGAGAATTTAATGCAGTTGGTTTGGGGTGGGCTTAGGAATGGTTTTAAAAGTTCAGCAGACGATCCCAGTGTACAGCCCAGGATCAGAGCCACTGACCTAGATGAATGCATGGAAGAAAGCTTCTAGAACGGGGAATCCATCAATACATGTGTCTAGGAAGAGGGGTTATGGTCATGTTTGAAGGTTAATAAAGTTGACTCATTTGTTCATTCCAGAAAATCAAGCCCAAGAGGAGGGAGAGAGAGAGGGTGTGGGTCACACTGGAGGTGACAGGTGGGCAAAAAGGGGCCTGCAGTGATTTGAGAGAAAAGAATTCATATTTTTTTCCTGAAGTTTTATGGTGTGGCTTCTCCATAGTGTGTGTCATTTTACCAATGACTAACTTTATTTAACAAGTTTAGTTAGAAATTAGATGTTTCCATTTTTATTGGCTCTACCTCTTTAATGAATCCATTGACCAGAGAGAGAATCCCTGGAGTAGTTTGGCCAATTTCATTCCTTGAATCAGTGCATTGTTACAAGGCTGAGGGATGGGACAAGATGGGAATACAGAACAGAAAGAGATTTTTCCCATCACTTTCTGAGGAAAAATCAACTCTAAATCTCCCCTATTTAAATACAGCTCTCTTCCAATGCTTCTCATGTTTTAGCAAAAACACATAAACTGTGATGGGCATGAAGATTATTTCTTGGAGAGAGCCATTAGAATATTAGGACACTATTTTTATACAGTTGGTGATTCAAATTTGAAAGATTGCAAAATGAATCCTAAATTTTTCCTCTCCTGTAATTTCATTTTCCTGACTAGAATATAGAGAATTCAGCAATTCAGCATTGGAGTTCACAATAGAACCACAAAAAATATCAAGCTTAACTTTTTTTATGTCAATAATTTTTCAGAGTTTCCTCTTGAGTATAAAGCCCTTAATGTATAATGTCCAGGGATCAGTAAATCTTCACACACACATGCACACACAATCCCAGAGGGAGAACAGCTGAGATAAAATAAAATGGATTATTTGTTCTATCCAATATATTATCAATAGCCATATTTGGCATTTAAATTTAAATCAATCAAAATTAAATTCAACCAGAAATTCACTTCTTTAGTTACCCTGGCCACATTTCAAGTGGTCAACTTGTGACCAGTGGCTAGTGTGACCAGTGGCTAGTGGAGATATAACACATCTATATCATTACATAAAGTTCTCTTGGTCAGTGCTGATATAGACCCAGAATGGGAGGAAATGTAGAGTCTTCTGTGCCATTGTGGGCAAATGAGAATTAAGTTAAATTCTGGACCCTTCTATGAAGATATTCAGACACGAATCCTTGTTCTTCATCATCATCTTGTATTCTATTCCATTGTATTTTATCATTATCTGCGTATCTTATCCCCACTTATACCAGTCCTATACCAACTGATGGAGTCCAAAAAGTCCACAGTGGATTTAAAAGTACATTGGCAAGGATGAGGCACCTGGGTGGCTTAGTTGGGTAAACATCCAACTTCGGCTCAGGTCATGATCTCACAGTTCAGGAGTATTCACGAACCCCTGCATCAGACTCTGTGCTAACAGCTCAGAGCCTGGAGCCTGCTTCAGGTTCTCTCTCTCTCTCTCTCTCTCTCTCCCCACCCCACTTTCTGCCCCTCCCCAGCTCATGCATGTGCACATGCACGTGGTCATGTGTGCTCTCTCTCTCTCTCTCTCAAAACTAAATAAACTTTTAAAAATAAAACTACATTGGCAAGGAAGTAGACTGGCCTTATATGTAAGGTGATGTTCTTCCAAAGTCTATATTATTGAATGTAATGAGGAATTTAGTGAAATTTTAACATGTTGGGACTCCTATTTATGGTTTTTCTGCTTTTTCATTTTTCAAAATTTCACTCATGGTCCCAAGATTTAGCAACAAAAGGTTTTGTAATACATAATGAAAAAAAAAAATCTCTGTGATTTTGTGATGCTTTAACCTGAGTTCTCCCTGGAGAAACAAATGTGGATTTGTTTAAGTCCCAGAAAGAGACTTAACCTAGACTCAGAAAATCACAGTGCAGAATTGTCTTGCACATTCGTTTTTAGGTGAGGAGATTAGGTTCTGGATGTGAGGTGAAGGAGAAATGAAGGTTAAGGTGAACTCCTTGGTTTTCTCTTTGGTAACTAACAAATAATTGGGCCTGATGGGAAATATGTTGATTTTGCATGTTGAATGCTTTCTTTTGTTTTGTTTTGCTTACATTTATTTATTTTTTGAACTTTAATTTGTATAGTTAACATCCAGTGTTATATTAGTTTCAGGTGTACAATACAGTGATTTAGCACCTTCATACATTACCCCATGGTCATCATGACAAGTGCACTCCTTAATCCCCATCCCCTACTTCACCCCTCCCCCCACCCACCTCCCCTCTGGGATCCATCAGTTTTGTTCTCTGTAGTTAAGAGTCTGTTTCTTAGTTTGCCTCTCTCCTTTTTTTCTTTGCTTCTTTGTATAGTTTTTTAAATTCCACATATGGGTGAAATCATGTGGTATTTACCTTTCTCTGATTTATTTTGCTTAGTATTATATTCTCTAGCTCCATCCATGTTGTTGCAAATGGCAAAATTTCATTCTTTTTTTTATGGCTGAATAATATTCCATTGTACATATATACCACATCTTCTTTATCCATTCAGCAATCAAAGGACATGGGCTGTTTCCACATTTGTCTATTGTAAATAATGCTACTATAAACATAGGGGTGCATGTGTCTCTTCGGATTAGAGTTTTATATTTTGGGGGTAAATACTCAGTAGTGTGATTCCTGTATCCTAGGATAGTTCTATATTTAACCTTTTGAAGAACCTCCATACTGTTTTCCACAGTGGCTGCACCAGTTTGCATTCCCACCAACAGTGTTAAGAAAGTTCCTTTTTTCCCACATTTACACCAATACTTGTTGTTTCTTGTGTTTTTTATTTTAGCCACTCTGGCAGATGTAAGGTGACATCTCATTGTAGTTTTAGTTTGCGTTTATTTCCCTGATGATGGGTGATGTTGAGCATCTTTTCAGGTGTCTGTTGGCTATCTGGATGTCTTCTTTGGAGAAATGTCTGTTCATGTCTTCTGTCCATTTTAAATTAGATTATTTGGTTTTTGGGTATTGAGTTTTAGAAGTTCTTTATGTATTTTGGATTCTAACCCTTTATCAGATATGTCATTTGCACACTGAATACTTTGAAGATGAAAACCTCATTGTAAACCAATGCTTATTTAAGTGTTGATGTTCAAAAGTCACATGTTCATAATGACATTCCACTTCATTTAAGATGAATCCAGGGGCTCCTGGATGGCTCAGTTTGGCTCAGGTTATGATCTCACCGTATGTGGGTTTGAGTCCCAGGTTAAGCTCTGTGCTGACAGCTCAGAGCCTAGAGCCTGCTTTGTATTCTGTGTCTCCCTCTCTCTCTCTCTGACCCCCCTGGCTTGTGCTCTGTCTCTGTCTCTCTCTCTCTCTCTCTCTCTCTCAAAAATGAATAAACATTAAAAAAATTTTTTTAATTTAAAAGAAGAGGAATCCAACTGTGATGTAAGGCATGGTCCCCATTTTGAAATGAGTTACTTACTAGGTATATCTAAATAAATCAAAAGCTCCCTGACATCTGCCATTCCTGGTTCCATATTTGCAGCAATGGACTTAAATGATCAGATATTATTTTTATAAACTCCAATGGTAAAATACATGAACAGATCATATACACAAGTTATACCTAACCTAAATATATTCCTCTTCCTAGATAGCTGTCCCTGTTATTCTATTCTTTATAATCAATGAGGGCTAGGGGGCCCTCAATGTGCATACAGTATTTTGCTGGTAAACAAAAGAAGTAAAAGACACTGTGTCTGCCCTTCAGAGCTTACAGTTTTGAAATTACAACGATGAAATGTATTTTCTCATAAGTAAGAGGACAATAGGAAATTTTCTGTAGACAGAATCTATGGGTAAGGATCATATATTTACAACTTGAAAGAGAAAAGATGCAACTGGACAAGGGGAGTCAGGAAAGGCTTCAGAGTGATTGTAGGTCTGTGGTGGAGCCTTGGGGTATGTGTCGGATGTGATCTGGAAGAGAAAGAGGACTCTCAGCCAAGACAACAAGTGTGACACAGTAAGACTGAGGATAAATGGGAAAGAAAAATATGTGTGGCAATAATCCCAATATTCAAGGGATTATTGACTATAGGTCTTGTCAGATTGAAGATTCATTTTGGTGAGCACTGGGCGATGAGTCCTCAGAGCCAGAGGACAAACCATCTTTATGTTGAGCTAAAGAGTTTGAACTTTATCTCATACACAGTAGTCAGAGAACTCTGTAATCATCAGACTGGCATACAAGTGGTAAGATCTTGTCTGTGATCCACTTCTGTAATGTTAAGTCTTTGTGGGTTCTGCTGATTTTCATCATGATTAAGGACTATATTTCAAAATACCTTATAAACTGAGAAAATTCAAAAGGAGAATAACAATAAAGCTTTGGGATATCAAAAAGAAAAGTGTTTTAGGGCTTCAAAAGTCTGCTTATTTTCAGACATCGCTTGATATTGAAGCTTACCTCTCCATAACCATTCTCTGAATTATGTTTTATTTTCAGTGTTTTTACATTTACTGAGGGGGGAAACAAGCCTTTAACCAAATGTTATATTGCTGAACTATTTAGCCTTGGAAATAACACTCAATTGTTCCCATTCTCTCAAAATAGTAACTAGGAAGTTGTTAACAAAAGCTCAACTGAGTAAACTTTAAAGATCTAATTGGTCTCTGAATCAGTTCATAAATCAGGCAGCATCCCATCTGGCAAGTAGAAAGGGAGAGATTTTTAAAAGCAGGACAAGGAAGTCACAAACAGAAAAAAGAATTACTTTAGGGGAGGTCACCTTCCTTTGGGGAAAACGCTTTTATTAGGTGAATTACCTCGTCTTTCTTTTGGGGATGATGAGGGCCCATGTGACAGAGTACTTTATTGGTGCTGATCAGAAAATTCCTGACTGACCAGTTAAGACTATATTCTTGAAAGTGCAAGTAGGTTAGTTTTGAAGCTCGGGTTTGGTTAAGTGGCCTAGCGTAAGTGACTCCATTTTGGGCCTGCGGTTTTCTTTTTAACAAAGTCAAGGATACGGTGGCAAGCACCTGAGGACCTATCAGTTATTATTCATCTTATCACTTTCAAGATTTTGGATGTATTAAACTGCTCTAGTCCCCTGATCCCCCCCCCAAAAAACTTGGAGACAATCCCTTTAAGAAAAACAAGTGTGAGTTTGGTTAAGAGTCACTATGTGGATCTGGTCTCTTCTACAGGTGGCCCCAGTGATTAAAGCCAGAATGATGGAGTATGGGACCACAATGGTCAGCTACCAGCCCTTGGGAGACAAGGTCAATTTCTTCCGCATGGTCATCTCAAATCCCGCAGCAACTCACCAAGACATTGACTTCCTGATCGAAGAAATAGAACGCCTTGGACAAGATTTATAATAATGTAGCTCACTGAGCTATTTCAGTTCCCTAGGTAGACAATTAAGTTGTCACTGTGTGAATGTATTTGTAGTTTGTTCCAAAGTAAATCTATTTCTCTATTGTGGTGTCAATGTAGAGTACAGTTTAAAAATCAAAAAACAAAAAAACACAAAAAAACACACCAAAAAAACCATTGCTCCTTTTAAAAGTCCTTTCTGAAGTTTAGAATACCTCTCTAAAAATTAGTGACAAAAGGCTGTGTTCTAATCAATAATGAGAAGCTTAAAATTGTTATAAATATTTCCCTTACTTTTAATATAGTGTGCAAATCAAACTTTATTTTCACTTCAGAGTAGTATGATTGAATAGTGCCAAATTACCCCTGAATCATAAAAGGTTCTTTGGGGTGCTGTCAAAAGGAGAAAGTACATATAAAATGTATGTTGACAATAAAAACTCTTGCCTTTTTCATAGTATTAGAAAAAAAATTTCTAATTTACCTATAGCGACATTTCAAATGTATTTAAATACATATAATTTTACAAAAGGAAAATATATATATTAAAAAGAAATCCTATTTTGTAACATATAGATTTTTATTTTATATGGGTTATACAAACTGCAGGGGCAGATATAAAAACTAAGCCAGTTTTTTTTCTCTTTCTTTTAATGGAGGCACAATAAACACTTAGCAAAGTTGTTTTGAAACCTAGGCCCACAAAATTCTTAAAAGGTATCTCGCCTTCTTTCTATTCATGGTATGGCTTATCACATCCCTAGTTAGTATTACAAAACAAACACAAAAGAATATTCAAGTTCTTTAAAATGACTGACCAGATTGACAATAAGATTCTCTTCCTAGTTAAGTCTTCCACGCGGTTGACCCTGAGCAGAGTTGCTCAGGAAGCCTAACAAGCCCGGCTTCATCTTAGATGAAACTAGGATAATTGTTTGTTCTCTGCTTTCCAATTCAGCTTGTTTTGAACAGAAGGTTTATGCTGGTTCTTGAGGCATCTTCCCAAACAATATTCTTTTATTAGGTCATTTGAATTAATTAGGGAAAATAAAAATAAAATCTAATCAGCCTGAGCAAAAAGGAATGAAGCATGCTCCAGAAATGTGGTGAGCTCAGAAAATTGAACTCAGCCTTGACAGAGGAGATCTCTGCGTGAGAACAATGATGTCATCCTGGGCACCATATCACCACTGTGCGGGGAGGAGTCATTTCCCTGGCTAATTGCTTATTCCCATTCCCTCCCCTTCTCCTACCCACAGAAGTTCTCTCCTGCTAGGCCCCCCATCACTGAAATCCCATATAATTAATTTCTATTCCATGGGTGATTATTTTCCTCTCATGAAGTGAGCACTTCACCCGAGATTTTAAGACAGCATCTTAAGACCTTCTTTGATCTGCCTCTCGTCAAGATCCAAAGTAACCAGAGTTTGCAGAGATAGTAAGATTCTTGGAATTCAAGATAATATTTTGAAAGCATTTCTTCTTCCCCTGTAAGCCTGATGGAGAGACACAAGCTAACAAGAGCTCTCATAGATATTTGTGGAGCCACAGATTATTGGATTCCAAGTACTGGAATGATGACTACAGACTCACAGATGCAGACTGTAGATAGAAACTTAGAAACATTCATCCTTTCTATATGGACCAGTCAGATTAGTACTCAGTACACTCAGGTGTACAAGGGAAGAAAGAAAAGAAATGCCCTATAATATAACCACAAGGTCCAACCATCTGAAATCTACATGAGCTTGCCCCTACCTCCTTTCTCCACATTATTTACAAAAACACTGATACTTGAAATGAACATCTGGACAGGAAGGTTTGGGTTTTTCCTGTCTAGGAAGCACATAGGTTCCCTATGATGACTAGGAGAAAACTTCTATCTGTGCCCCAAAATTTCAAGAAGTAATAAGCCTCCCATTCTAGGCGATGTCTAATGGCCAACTATCCCCTGATTTTCTAGATATTGGCTATTGAGACTAAGCACAGAGCTGCCCACCTATTGTGAGCCTCAGGCCAAAAGGTCCTACCTCAGAGGCAGAGTCACTAACTATCAAACCCACTGTCCTGCTTGGAGAAGATGGTGGAGCCCAGGGCCCTGACCTAGACAGACCCCTCTTAACTCCCGGATGCTTGTACCTTGCAGTACAGATCCTCTGTCAGAGCTACTGCTCATTAACTTGATAGTATGACAGAATTTAAAAGAAGGGACATTTGTACCTGGGTATGAAATTCCAGCAAAATAACTTTTACCAATAGATTGTTTCCCCCACCCCTGCCCTTTCCAGATCCTTCCCTAAGTTTACTGGGAGCCTTGCTCAATCCTATGATGTGAAATCCCTGCCAACCATAACCCAGAAAAAGAGGTAAATAAAAGCTTAATAGGTCCCAGTAGTTTAATAAATATCTTTTAAAGTGGTCTGTAATCTACTTGGGAAGGAAGGAGGAAGGAAAGAAGGTTGTTTTGAACATTAGCTCAAATTCTCAGTGCCGACGGCCTTTATAGGGGACCATCCTTTACAAATTTTAGAAAAGTCTGGTTTCAGCTTAATCAGAAGTGACATGGCCATTTTCATTTATTCAGCAATATTGTGTTTATTATTTTTAAATACTTGAAAAAAAGTGTGATATGTCTTTATCTGAGATGCATAAATGGTATTGACTTCATGAACTGTTACAAGGCTCGTGAGGAAAGAAAAGGAAATCAATTGTGTGTATAATTGTGTTGCCTTTGTTTATATTGATAGTACTGTCCCATCACCTCAGATTGGGGTTGCGCACTTTAGATCTGAACTGTATGGTGTTGCAAATCAACATGTGTTGCTGTAAAAGCTTGTACAATATATTATTGATATGTCGTTTTCCGTGTGGTAGCTGTACTGATATTATGAGAACTACATTCGCTTCCCTTCCTGTACTCTCACCCTCTCCCTCTCTGCTAAACTGTACGCCCTCCACACCAGCTCTAATAGAGAACAAGCCCTTGGCTAAGCTCCCTACTGAAAAATCTCCTTGGAGAACTGTGTGATTTCACAAAATGCAAGGTGAATGCTACTTCATCTCTGAAAATAGAAGAAACCGATGTGGATAGAGTGTCACAACCCTTCCAAATTGCAGGTATTGTCCCTGCCAGGGTTTTGGAGCAGGTGCTACCCCTCAGAATATGGACAAAGAATGCACGGGTGTAAATATAGCAGCGGGACAGGGAATCAAGGACCCTCAGCTGGGTATCATCTTGCACGTGCTCTCCTGTTTTCAAATGCTAAGTACCAACACTATGTATTTATTAGTTAAGTGTGCCAAAATACTGTTCCCAATTGGTGTTTCTGGAAGACCTCGACATCTCCCCAACATTACTCCATTACTAAAGACAGAAAAAAAAAATTAAAAAATATAAACATGTGGCAACCTGTTCTTCTTACCAAATATAAGCTTGTGTATGATCTAAGTATTTTATCTGTGTTGTCTCTCTAAACCCAAATAAATGTGTAAATGTGGACATGCCTCAGGATTTGGTTGCTTATTTCCGGTTTTGCATTTTTGCGGAGCTAAGTTTTAATGAATTGCCTGAATAAGAGGCCCTTTCCTTGTCACAGAGCTCAGACTGTGGGTCTTTGTTGGGGGAAAAGCTATTGCTCCCACTGTCCCTTCTGAAAGGTATTGTTTTACTACTCCGACTTCAATCCTTCAATCAGATCCAATCTTTTTTTACTTTTTATTTAAAAAAAAGTTTTTAATGTTTTTATTTATTTTTGAGAGAGAGAGTGTGTGTGTGAGCAGGGGAGGGATAGCGAGAAGACACAGAATCAGAAGCAGGCTCCAGGCTCTGAGCTGTCAGCAGAGAGTCCAACGTGGGGCTTGAACACGTGAATCATGAGATCATGACCTGAGCCAAAGTTGATTGCTTAACCAACTGAGCCATTCAGGTCCCCCTTGATCCAATCTTTAAAAAAAAATTTAGGGGCACCTGGATGGCTCAGTTGGTTAAGCATCTGACTTTGGCTCAGGTCATGATCTTGTGGTTCATGGGTTCAAACAGAGCCTGCGTTGGGCTCTGTGCTGACAGCTCAGAGCCTGGAGCCTGCTTCGGATTCTGTGTCTCCCTCTCTTTATGATCCTCCCCTGCTCATGCTGTCTCTCTCTCTCTCTCAGAAATAAATAAAAAAACATTAAAAAAATTTTTTAAAAACATATATACACAAATATGTGTGTTTGTGTAAATATCCTATCTGTGCACACAGTCGCATACACTTATATGTAATTATACAGATAAAAGCACACACACACACACACACACACACACACACATTCACTAAATTTAATGTACTTAGTGGTACCTCAATAAAATTAAAATCTATTTCAGGGACGTCTGGGTGGCTCAGTTGGTTAAGCACCCAACTTTTGCCCAGATCATGATCTCACAGTTCATGAATTTGAGCCCCTGCATCAGGCTGTCTGCTGTCAGAGCAAAGCCTGCTTTGGAACCTCTGTCCCCCTCTCTCTCTGCACATCCTCTGCTCACGTGCTCAAAAATAAATAAGCATTTTAAAAACTTAAAATCTATTTGAGTTGTTGACACAAAATAGGAGCAAGCACTCACCAAATGATCAGTAGCTCAGAGCCCAAGTTTATTTTTTTATTTTTTTATTTTTTTATAATGTTAATTTTTTTTTCTTTCATAGTTTATTGTCAAGTTGGTTTCCATATAACACCCAGAGCTCATCCCAACAAGTGTCCTCCTCCATGCCCATCACCACCCTTCCCCTCTCACCCACCCCCATCAGCCCTCAGTTTGTTCTCAGTATTCAAGAGTCCCTCATGGTTTGCCTCTCTCCCTCTCCCCAACTATTTTTTCCCTTTCTCCTTCCCCATGGTCCTCTGTTAAGTTTCTCCTGTCCCACTTATAAGTGAAAACATATGGTATCTGTCTTTCTCTGCCTGACTTATTTCGCTCAGCATAACACTTTCGAGTTCCATCCACATTGCTACAAATGGCCAGATTTCATTCTTTCTCTTTGCCATGTAGTATTCCATTGTATAGATAAACCATATCTTCTTGATCCATTCATCAGTTTATGGACATTTAGGTCAGAGCCCAAGTTTAAAGAGAACTAGAGGGATTGAATTCCCAAGAAATAAGCAGGGGAGCTATAAAAACACACCATGT